AGCGCATCACGACAATTTTACGAGCGTAGAAGCTTTAGAGCACGCTTTTAATGCAGTCGGTACCGCTCTGCCGCGGGAGGGACTACACAGCCGGCTAAATATGTCGACAACCCGATGCTCCAAGCTTATGACACTGAGCAGCATGAAACTCTCCCCAATAAATGCGTCATGGTCAATATTCTATGGTCAGGTAACGTCACCAAAAGCACAAACAATGGACAGATAGGGTTGCAGACACCCACATGCTCCGAGAAAATCAGACCCATCAGCATGAAACCTTCACCAGTCGGTGTCATCGTCGATATCCAGATATTTTTCCGGCTTTGATATTTTTGGTGAGTTTTGACCTGAACTAGGGTCACCGTGTTCTGTAAAGCATAGGAGATTGACTATGACGTATCGATTGGTAAAGGCTTCATGCTTATCAGTCCCATAAGCTCGGAGCATGGTGTTGACTGCAGCCGAGTTTGGTTGTCTTGGGCGTTTTCAGTAACTTTTGACCTTTGTGAAATGCTTCAAAGATTAACCCCGCGACCGAATATCACGTGGGCTGTGTTGACCTTCGGGGCACTAGCAATGCCATTTATGAAGAAAGAAAAAGGAAAAATAACTGTTTCTTTAAAATATAAAAACGAAAACACGCCTGTTATTGGCAACAACCATTCCTACGTTTTCTTTAAAGTTAGGCATGCGCGATAAATTTTGTCCTCATTTGATAGAAGAGCGGATCGTAACATATTTAATTGCTACCCATAGCGTGTGGCTATGTCACATAAAGTGTCAGCGAGTGTCACTGTCGCTCTACGTAATAGTGCTAAATGTCAAGAAAATATTGCATCAAATAATACCCGAGCTGTCACATGGATTGTTTTGATCCGATACGAGCGCGTATCAAACGGGTTGTGTCCTAAGACACGTTGGTATTATGTACGTAGTACTGTGTGTAACCGTATCTGTTTCTTCCGAAGGAAATCAAACAGTTGAAAAATATTTTAAGGCGTCTAACCGCAACTTTTCTGTGTCCTTTCAGTCCCATCAGTGCTTACGAAATGGGGCCAAGGTGACATAGTCAGCGATGCTTCCACTCACTACCGATGGATTCGAAAACAATCTGGTCTCCTTTTAGACGATTTAGACTTAAAGCTGGCAGCGAACTATGACGAACGTTACATTTCCGAAGTCACTCATGGAACATCGGGTGAAAAGCTGTGGCGCAAAAATCTGGCGATGAAGACCAACGATTCCTTTACACTGGACGACTATAAGCGCAAATGATTTGCACTTGGTTGCCATAATAACCAAACCAGCCCGGTGTCTACTCATCCGGAATTCAAGATCTGCGCACTATCAGCTGTTCAACGTTTGGTACCCAATTTTCCCACATTAAACAAGCGGAGTTCATTGCTCTTATCTTGTCTAAACGCTGGATGAAAGGTGTGCCTTTCGTGATCGTAGATCCCAGCACGTGTTCTCCAGCTGAAATGATGGCATGAGTTTTCGCTTGGTCATGAAAAGGGCAAAGCCAGAAAAGCTCGTGAATTCAAGTTGGTGCACTTGGTGTGGAAGATACGGGTCTGCTTGTTGTGACGGCAGCAGGCGCATGGGACCGGTAGCAATCAGAAGCATCCCCTGCCGCGCTCAACAGAGCAGGAGCTTCCACATGATTCCATAACAGTGTGGCCTGGTACAATAGCCTCATTGGTCAGCTTTTGACCATGTGTGACCTTCATAGAGACGTTTAAGGTCAGAAGAAGTCAAAAATATTTAGTAAGTAATATGTATGTAAGCATGTTCAGTACACCAGTGCAATCACTTGATGTCTTCGGCTACGGTACAGTGAAAGAACGTTTTTATCAAATTTGCGGCTTTGTATAGCAGAAGGTCACTGGTCTGATGATCACACTAAAACAAAAATCGAACGCGTTGTGGCAATTTTAAGTTAAGGTCAGACATATGCCCTGTGTAAGCCTAAGGTAAAAAATGTGATGTGTATATTCTCCATGCTTTGACGAGACTTTTACAACGTTATCTTTGTTTTTCTCACACGGCGTGTGAAAGTTTGAGGTCCCAGAGGGGAGGGGGTTAAATTTCCCCCGGCCCGGTGCAGTCGTCTCAGACCCCCGGCCGGGCGTAGGTTAAAGGTAACGAAGTCAAGCGGTCAGATAGTAAACTCAGAATTTCTTATTGCTTTCTGGTTCTGAAGATAATCGGGTTTTCTGACACTGACGCTTCGGTATTTCCTTTTTCAACAGTTTTGTAATTACATGCATTCGCTGACCCTAAAGGAGGCATGGCCTTTAAAGTTTCGTGACCAGACTTACATCAAGCTTTCAAAAAAATATGTAGATCACCCAATACACTAAGCTTCAAGTAATTTTGAGACATGAGGGTGTTGTCCAACACCCCATTTGTCTGTGTGCTACACCCGACAGATTCAGCAGCCTACACCGCCTAGTTGGTTTCACGTCTTAAGCTGCCGCTACGGCTGAGATTTCAGATTACTTTTTGCAGCGCCCTACAACGGCCGGATTCATCATTTACAGACGAGGGCGTGTGACAGCGTCCACTCACTACACGCATTAACCTAGACAGCTGTCAAAACCATTGTCCGCCTTCTCCCGCGAAAACGAAATTAAACGCACCCTACTAAGCCATGCCAGCTCCCGAATATTTCAGGTGCAACCATTTTTTTAAGAGAGTGGAACGAATGCTTTGGGCTAAGCGTTATGCCACCATGCTTTGTATCTAAATGCAGCTAAACACCTGGATTTATATCATGCTTTCAGATTAGTATGTTCCCAGGAGTTCGCCTTATTGCTGATTGAGATACGGTGAATGCACGACGCAACTCTAAAAGACCCGTTAAAATCGCTCAAAAATATCGAGCATCTGGTGCAGGTTAACTTTTCCAAAAGACAAACCCTACCTGAACATATTCATATTCAGGGAGGCTATCGCCGTCATTACGGAAAACGTGCTACTCAGGGGCTCTTCGAGTGCATGAAAACATCGGCAGCGCGTGATTTATCTCGTGTGGGGTATTACATCACATCAAAGATGACGAAAAGAGAAATTGGCAAGAATTTCAGTTCTTTAAAATACTAGTGATCTAAACTTCCTATGATGTAAGGTGACGAAATGTGTAACGGTAACATATTGTATCCTAAGCATTTGCAAACACCCTTTCCGTTTGCATCAAAGATCCAGTCTAGTGCTATTCATAGTTTTGCTTACCACGGCAATCATTAGATATTCCATTCACGGGATGATCTCCAAAGTGCAGAGCTTACCACTTACAGCTCACTCAGGGTATACGACAATCTAAATGTGCATGGACAGGGTGCCCTTGCTGTTCGTATACGATTTCTCTGAAATAATATCACTATTTTTGTGTTTATCAGTGTAGTTTGCTTGCACCTTTGGTGGAGCTGATATAAATCCCCGTAGTTGGATGTATTCCTGCTTTTTAAAATGAAATCACCTAATTTGCAGAGCACAAAATAATGCTAGAGATGGTTTGTATTACGGACGCACATTAGTAACTACCTTACATTGCATTTCTAACGTCCGCATTTGAACAGTGTTGTTCATCATTGCAAGCAGATGACATCACACACTCATGCAAGAGCGTATTGTAGCTTACAACAGTTGCTACATTGCTATCGCAAATCCGCGCGGATTATAGTTGGAGCATTCCCTCTTCGGAAGCAAAGCGTAGCTAGGCCCTTACTCAGTCTCATCCTGACCCTGTTGAACGGAGATAACTTTGATAGAAGCACCTTCAGCAACGTTGTGATCTGCCAAACACAAGCACACTGAACCGAAATACACAACAACTATAGCTTGCTTGTCCGGAAGTGGCATTCAATGCGCCGCAACATATGTGACGTGCGAGTTTACAAATGTTATCACACAGACACGGTGGATGCCTTTCTCTTGGCCACTTCAAGCAGGTACTTTTATCACCACAGGTGCCTCACACCAAATCTATTAAAACTAAGCGTCCAAATGCGTAAATATCTAGTTGCCCTCTAAACGGATGCGCAGACACTCCATGAACAGTTCGTCACGTAACGCCATCTATATCAACAACAGCAGTGCAGCGGCAATAGTTCCAACATAGGCCGCAGTCGTTCGGGAGGCGCCACCACCAGCACCAATCGTCACCTGGAATGATTCGAGCTTGTAAGTCCCGCGCACAATCGTGTTTCCTCCGGGTGGACTCAGAATAAAACCTGGGAGCAACTAAATTCAAGCGAGTTCGGGTGGCATTAATTGCTTGGTACTTCTCTAGGGGGTTTGACTTAGAATTGAGCGACCAATCATCAGTTGGCTCAAGCAGGAATGCAATATGATTATGATATGTACAGCCAAAGATCTAAACACACGAGCCACGAAAAACGGAAACGCAGCCATGCATTTAGCCAATTTGCTTGTTATTTTAAAAACAACTTGTCACGCATGGTTTTGTGCGGCTATTACATCGGGTTCCCTATCAAACTGAGGTCGACGGAGTAAAATTTATCTGAAACGATTTCGGTCTTTATCCAGATAGATCTCCTCGAGTCAGAATCGGAGTCAAGCCAAAGTTGTGTTATGTTGCTCGTAATTAGTGTCGAATTAAACAATATTCACCGTAATTTGCAGTAGGAAATTGTTCTGCTCAAGCAGAACTAAAGCATTTCTGGTTACTAATACTGTATACGTGATGGTGACAGTTAAAACAGCTATGCAACAAAGCGCGCGCGCGCGCGCGCCCACACCCACCCACACCCACACCCACACCCACACCCACACCCACACCCACACCCACACCCACACCCACACGCACGAACGTACACTATACATGTACACATATATATATATATATATATATATATATATATATATATACATATAGTCAGATTTAATTGATACTAAAAGGAAAACGCAACAGTCAGTGCTCTCGCAGTACCAGCTTTCTAACTACCCAGCATATGACATCTGTATTATGATATGTGGTATCATGAGGTATATATTTATATTACTGCATACTGAACATACCTCTGGCACTTTAACGTGCATTTGTATGAACATATAGATCATTCTAAGACATACTGACCAGGAACGTGTGCTCATAGATCATGCCACGCATATCGCTACTGTGGCACATGAACTGGCCCGAGTCTTCCTCCCGGGTGGGATTTATCTGAGGGTAGACAACAACAGCAGAATGTCAGGCGAGCCGGAGGTCAGGGTCGCAGACGCTGCCAATGGTCACCAACACCACAAATAACCAACAGTGAACAACATATTTACATGAACATTGATTTATATATATATATATATATATATATATATATATATATATATATATATATAGTAAATGCTCTCGCAGTACCAACTTTCTAACTTTCCCGCATATTATATATATATATATATATATATATATATATACACATATGTATATATAGACAAACAGACAGCGACAAAAAGAAACAAGCGTCTTTACATTTACACCATGTGCTGCATACAGGTATTTTTGTACACAAAGAGCACCAACAACGACCATACACTAGATGGCATAATTTGTGCTGAAAGCTTGCAATGCAGTATATTTCATCGCGCTACATTAACTCAACTTGGTTTGAATTGCACGAATCTCGAATGAGCCGTAGTGAATCACGTCTTGTTTGACCAAAACTGCGCCGTTTTGTGTATGGATGACCCTGCCCCAGCACTTCTTGGTAGGGCCTCTGTAAAAAACTACGCGACTAGATCCCGAGAAAGCACGGGCAGCCCATATGCCACGACGCGTCCTTATGGATGTCAATCCCGGTACTTATCCGATCCCGGGATCACAACAAAAGACATTATAGCTGTACTGCATTTACAGATATGCAAAACCTATGCCAATTGTAGGTAAATGAAATAAAGTCGCCACCATGAAGCACAGTGTATATAGGTACGTCGGCGTACGTTCTAGGCGTGACTGTTGGCATATCGATCATCACACTGATTTTGTTATACACCCCAAAAGTATCACGTAACAGTAACATTCAGCAACACGTAACAAGTGACAATCTGGACTTTGATTCGGCGAGGGCTGCACCGATTTCATTTGGACACTGGGTTACTATAAATACACAGCAATGACTTATTTTGGGCATCTACTGTTTCCAATCGTGTTAACATCGGCACTGAACGTGCGGTGCCAGAATTATAAGGCATACTTGGGACGTGAAACGACAAGGACAACGTCGGAAAGTTTGGCATAACTGCGGATTAATCTATTGCACATTCTTTTAAAAACAACTGCTAAAATGTTTTTCCAGGCCACGTAGCCTTGCAGTTATTTATGATAGCATGAAGTCCAATTTTGCACCAAATACTTTTTTCTGTATACTCACAGGAAGTGGTATCTTCCGGCGCGCAATCAACACAGGGTGATAGACTATAGGTGCACAGATGCATTTGCATAGGTCAATGAGCCGTAAATTGTCAGCTATGTTTAAAAACTTATGGCGCCTTGTCTGACCTGAAACATATCTTCAGCCACTTTGTTGCCCTGATTTTAACTCAGAACATAATTTTATATTCTTATCATTTAAAAAGCGGCGCACATGCTCAAGAAGCGTTATTTTTCACTTCATGTTCTTTGGTATAGATTGACTAGAACTGAAGCCACCAATGGACCTCAAGAGGGCAAGCAGGGCTTCGTCTTGTATTTCATTTAAGCCATCTCTCTGCCTCCTAAGCTATTCTTGATTCTTACACTTCACCCAAAAGGGTAAAACTTAAGACTCTTAAATTCGCGGGTCTTAATTATATTCGTGCGTATATGGTGATGACGATCGATCCTCAGTTGCGGCATGTACGCCATCCGACTCCTCTCAAACAGCCTGGGGGCGTGATGGCCGGATGATTAGCGCGTCGGACTCTCACATTGGGAGCCTGGGTTCGAATCCCGTTCTGCCCCTGAGGCCCCTGAGGGCTAAAATGGCCATTGCAGTCGCTGGTGCTCCATAAAAGGGACATGACGACGTGCATCGCGTTCTTTAACACGCGCTCGGGTGGGGGGTCAGATTGACTCCCCCACCCGAGTGGTTGCTCCAGAATGGCTTCTGAACGGCGCGGCAGGGCCGCGCCAAATTTTGCATAACTGTAAATAATTGAATAGCGGATCGTTTGGCATCAAAAGCGCAGATGTACCTCGTAAGGTTGCTGACCTATGGAGGGTAAAAGTCAGGCCATGGTTTCAACGAAGGCAATTTCGACGGAATCCTTTAATCTGATCCAACAACGGAATGTTAGACGAAGCCATACATATCTGAGATGCTTTCTTAGGCAACATAACAGTTGTCTGATCAAATTAAATTGACTTAATGTCAGGTATGAAGGTCACACCAAGGTCAAAAACAGCCTGTTATATTACCCCAGAGCTTGCTGTATGGGATAGTTTCTGGTGCGCATTTAGAATTTATTGATAGCAGGAACCGCATTATACATCTTCTATGGACTTCTTAGAGGTCTTAATAGGTCATTAACATAAAATGACCTAGGTCAACACTTTGTTTTATGAACATACTGCCTAGCATAATCTTTGTGTCTTCGTCAAACGCAAAACTCAAAGCAATCTTGTATAATTTTGGTTACCTTGACCTTCAAAAGGTCAAACCAGGTCACTGACCTTAAATGAGAGTGTGACCTTTTGCTTTGAAACAGCTATCTAAGTTTTGGGAGCACTTTGGAGACCAGCCTGGAACTTGACCTTGTTTGACCTTTTTTAACCCAAAGGTCATGACCTAGGAACTTGAAACTTTGACCTAAGTATGCTCACGTGTAGGTCAACACATTCTGTAAATTTGGTGTCTTTAGCTTCCTCAGTTCCCGAGATCTCAAGGGGTCAAATTGACCCCCACCCGAGCGAAGGGTATCTAGCCGGCCACCCGGGCGCGTGTTAAAAAAAAAACAATCCTGGACAGCTACACCAAGCAAATACATCATTTTACAAGAAGAAATGTTTGTCTTTATGCCCGGCCCCTTTATGCCTTTATATATATATATATATATATATATATATATACATATATATATATATCGCTTTCTATCCAGTGGAGAGCGTTATGCACGAAATGTCCTTCATGTTCAAGTAGTGAGATATCTCAAGATGTTTAGTGGAGAATCGCTGCTAATTTAGTAAAAGTTCTTTAGCAGACTGCGCACTAACCAACTCTCCGATCCCAGGGTCGAAAACGCATGGATCGTGGAATTGGGACTGATGTAAATCGCGGGAGTCCCACCCTAGGACTGACATCCTTACTTACTTATCCTAAACATGCATAAATATGTGAGGGCGATGAAGACTAGCATAGTCTCTCACTCAAGGCGGGCGTTTATGCCCCCTAAGCACCTGAACATTGTGGAACCCTTTCGTCTGATTGAGGTGCTCGTGTTACCTGAGCCGACAGATGGACGTCAGAAAGCCAGAGTGGGACGGTGACCCTCAGCCCAAGCGAAAGCATGACTGTAAGCCCACGCGGAGGGGCACCCTAAAATTGTGTGTCGTACACTTAAGACGAACTGTTTTCACATTGATCCTATAGTCAAGTTGTCATCCTGATTCCTCCTATACAAGAGGCACAGCAATGTCAACTACCGCAAACTTTTTTACCACTGGGGTCGGATTCGCATTTACAACACCACAATCTATTGACGTTGTGATGAAATGTCTATTGTCCGTGTTGCGGTAAGTGATACCCGTTCAGGGCATTAGCATTAATATAACACAAGTGAAAGGTATACCCCAGTCTGACCTTGGAACAATACGAACGGGGCCCCTCGAGCAGGGGCCTCATAATGGAATGGAGCAAGCGCAATTGTGCATGTATAACATGAATTTAAGCGTAAAAGTTGTGACGGAAGGAATTCCGAGACACCCAAGAATACACGTAGAGGACGTATAGATCTCACTAGTGACCAATGGCAGTGTTGCCGCATCCGGGGAGGGGGCAGACGCGGGGGTGGGGATTTGACGCGGGGGAGGGGACAGAGGGGCACACCGCCCTCTCCATCCTGTCTTTTGAGGTGGCAGAAAAATGACATTTTCGCTCCTTCTCCCCTTCTCCAATATTTCGGGCATTCCAGAACGCGCCCTAAGAAAGGTGGAAGCAATTCCCTCACCGTGTTACCAAGGGGAGAAAAGAGGGCCCATCTTATGACTGGAAAAGAGCCATCTCAGACTGGAGAGGACCCAGTGTCAGGCAGGAAAACGCGTATGCCAGCTTCAGGCAAGGAAAGGGCCCATTTCTGATCGGGAAACGCTGAAAAACTCCGGTCACGTCCTTGCCTGGTGTCGATTTAGCAAATGTTTGAATGAACAATTAAAAAGCGTAGCACCGGCAGATTTTTCATGACCGCCATTTTATGTTTGCTTGGTTTATGTTATGGATTTTAGCAGCATCCTTTGGAAGCTCTAACTATTTTGTCACAGTGCAAGAGGACAAAACGGAAAACAACTGAAGAAAATAGTCCTTCAAACTAAAGCAAACCAAATTCAGTGGACTGTTTTTAAGCAGTGATGGTATTGGCAGTGTGGCCCACCACCAACTTCGGTGCCTCCCTCCCCCTCCCCCTCGTTCAGACAGGATGTGTATACGCACACACAAGCACATCGTTCCAAATTTGTTTTGTTTCAACGTTATCCTTGTACGCTACTAATTTTGCCGGGGTGGGGCCCACCGCCTGTCAGAGGGGGCCCAAGACGTTTGAGGGACCCCTAAAAAGTTGCTTGACCCCCATCCAAACTTCGATCTGCTGTCACTGCCGTGAGGACGTACTACCCTCGCTCCCTCCCTCTCTCCATCCGTCCACAATCGCGATTACCCCACACTGCAAGACGAAGCTCCCCTCCCCTTCCCCACCACCGCCACCACACACCGTGAGGACGTAGGCCCCGTTCTCAGAACGGATCTGGTACCGGTTGTCGCTGACGATCAGCTGCGCGTCCCGAGCAAACTCCATCTTGCCGTCGCTCTCTGCGGCGGAGGGTACGTGTCAGAGCGACAGGCAGACTGGGACCACGTCAGCTCCCTCTTCCCGCCATTATGTCTGCTAAGAGGGACGGGTAGTTGAGGTAGCATTGAGTTGGCTCAGTGGTACTGACACCCACCTACTTCTCTTCTTACATTACACAATGCAGTAAAAGAAGGGAAAGTCCGAGGACGATTTTCACTTTTTGTTTGATCACTCTATCATGCTGTCGTTGGGGCCGAGGACCAGTTCTACGTGGCTGTCACCTCTGCAAGACGAGGGATGGACGCGGGGTCGGGAGGATTTCTAATGGATGTCGGCGTGCAGAGTCAATGTGGAAAGTGGATTGCATAACAGGACAGACCAAAACTGGGCAGCCCACGAGCCAGTTCGCTCTTCCTACCGCACGATATGTAGTTACGTGAGGGCGTAGGGTGTATTCGACCTCGCCGGCGCCGCCGCAAACCGAGGCTAGAAGCGATTGTCACACCTAGCTGGAGAACCAGACCACGTCTCACAGCGGCGACGGCAGTGCATCGCCACACATCTGGAGGTGCGGCGGCCGAGAGGCGTCCTCTTCGCGTGCGGCGGTGCGTGCTGCGCGGTGCGGTGTGCGGTACGGGGTAGTGACGGGTGACTGGACCAACGGCGGGAGAAAGCGGCAGCGTCGCCAGCCAACACGAGACACACTTTCTCATAGGGTGCTGTCGTTTTGCTGGCGGGATGGACCGCGGTGGCACTAGCCGTCATCGCCAGCCATGAAAGGTGTTCTGTTATGGTGCGGATGCAGTCCAATGCTGCTTGAATTCTTTGGAGCTTTGAATTCATGCAGTCGTATAACATGCATGGATTCAAAGCTTTGTGGACCGACTGGAGGATTGCTGTAACCACTTGCAAGGGGCAAGGCGTCCGCTATTGTGGCTCTGTTCTTCCACAGCGCTTACAACGCGCGGACACCGATGCACGAGTGATGCAAAGTATGTCATGACTAAACGACAGATGTCATTCAAGCATTGTCATGTCATGTCACGTTGTGATGTCATAAGCGTTCAAATAATACAGAACATGCGTTTTCCCATGTTCGTAGAAAACCACAGGGTGAATAACTTCACACGCTTTATGCATTTATCTGAATCAATGTCTTGACCACACGCCATCCGGCTCTCTACTGGTCGCTTCCCCTCCCCGTGACTCAGGACGTCATGTGACCCGCATATGAGCGGCCCGGCCCGGCAGTCCGGCAAGGCGAGCTACCAGGTGCTGGCTGGCACTGACGGCCCGTGGCTCTGCTGACGTCACTGGTGCTGGGGCGCCCGTAGGATCAGCAGCGTCATCTAAAGCGGCGTGGCAGCACAGAGTTTCCATAACCGGTTTTGGCCGGTTTTAAATGGTCCGGTTGAGTACGGGGACTGTGAGACACGAGAGGGCGCACCAAACCAGCCGGGCTGGACTCAGAACGGCGAGAAACTTGTTACATCCAGCCCTATGGTCCGTTACGGTGAGGAAAATCAGAGCGACGGAGTTTTGGGGAAGGCACCTCGACGCGATGCACTTTTTCTCATACAACCAGTGGAACCGGTGCCATGCTGGGGCATAGCAGCCTTACCAAGAAAGGGTAGCGATGACTGACTGTCGTCCCGTTACCTGGACAGCCGACCAGCCGGCGGCAGTCACAGCTCCCACTGCCGCGCTCTCCGGAGACTGTTGCCCCAGCTCGCCTGCGTACGGGTCAGCGTGGCCGCCCCTACTGCCGCGCTCTCCAAGGACTGTTGCCACAGCTCGGCTGCGTACGGGTCAGCGTGGCCGCCCCTATTGCCGCGCTCTCCGGGGACTGTTACCACAGCTCGGCTGCGTACGGGTCAGCGCGGCGGAGACTGCTGCCACAGCTCGGCTGCGTACGGGTCAGCGCGGCGGAGACTGCTGCCACAGCTCGGCTGCGTACGAGTCAGCGCAGCGGAGACTGCTGCCACAGCTCGGCTGCGTACGGGTCAGAGCGGCGGAGACTGCTGCCACAGCTCGGCTGCGTACGGGTCAGCGCGGCGGAGACTGCTGCCACAGCTCGGCTGCGTACGGGTCAGCGCAGCGGAGACTGCTGCCACAGCTCGGCTGCGTACGGGTTAGCGCGGCGGAGACTGCTGCCACAGCTCGGCTGCGTACGGGTCAGCGCGGCCGTTCCCGTTCGCTGGAGTTCGTCCTTCGGCAATGCTCATTGTCCATTTTTCTCATGGCGAATTCTGCTTGCCATTTCCTCATTGCCCATTTGATCACTCGCTCCCATATGAGCCATTGTAAATGCAATCAACAAGTGATACATATGAACCGCCAGTCTGATGAAATTCGTTTGATGACCTCGTCTATAGTAAAGCAAAGAGCGCAACTGCATAGTAACTACTTGACGGCCGATGGAAAACACTATCTATTCCTCAGCTGCCAAACGCAAAAGCAACGTGCTGGGGCAGCAATGAGTTTACTATTTGAGGAGGGTTCACACATATTCCAGGCGGCTGCATGACCGCAGCAGGAGAACTTACGACGGCACCCGGACGCCGAGAAACTGCATAAGCTATCTCAGCTGCTTAATCGGGCGCTCCAAGATAAGGTGCCACTCTTTGTCAGGTGCTGGCCGCTGCATTTGGATGGCCGTGGCAACATCGCAGCTGCTTTGCATGCGAACGTGTCCCGCTGGACCTTGAGTCACATCGGTCACTAGGGTCGCGAGGCAGCCAGAGGCGGTCCTCCCTCCCCATGCATGTGCCAGCCTAGCGACAATCCATGCACGGGCTACGTGACCCTCCCATTGTCGGTCGTGAGGCAGCGCGGGCACAGGTCACGTGACTATCCGAGAACAGGCCGTGCGACCAATGAGCAGCCTGCCAACCGATCCAGTGACGCCGAAGGCACGCCGCCTGAGCCGCCCGCCGTGCCATGCGTGCGCACCGCTGCACGGGGATCAGCGCACCGATGCATGGCGCCGTGCATTGTGCACCGGCACCCGCCGGGCGTGGCGTGCCGCTGGACGGCCGTGCGACGCCGCCAGCGTGACCTTCCGTCGGAATTGGTCACGGCCGGCTGCTCTGCCAACTGACGACCCTCATGCACGCACTCACGAACGCACGCACGCACGCACTTACGAGTGCGCATACGCACGAAGGCGAGTATATACACACCTACGCACGCACGTAGGGACGCACACACACACACACACACACACACACACACACACACACACCACACACACACACACACACACACACACACACACACCACACACACACAACACGCACGCACGCACGCACGCACGCACGCACGCACGCACGCACACACACACACACGTAAGCACATACATGCGCACGCATGTTCGGACGCACGCACGCACGCACGTACACATGCACGTACTTACGCGTGGACGTACGCACGGACGGACGCACGGACGCACGGACGCACGGACGCACGGACATACGCATACACCCCCTCACACACACGCGCACACATTGTTGTGCGGCTGAATGAGTGAGCCGCCACGCGCTCCAGCCAGCCGCCGCGCAACAATACAAGTGCGGGCGTGAACGTGTGCTCATGCGTCGCGCACGCACTCGCACGCGCAGGCCAACGCCATCCATACACCCGGTCAAATGAGGGACATCAGAAGGAATGACGCGGATGCTGGCGAGGTCACCAGGTCTGAGGCACTTGTTTGCTGTCATGTCGGCCGCCGATCACCGACCTTGTTTGTACCATAGGACGGTGCCGCCCGGGTGGAAGTTGCACTGCATGGAGACGGTGCCTCCGGGCATCTGGCTGACCACGGACGTGCCGCTGCTGGTGTTGTCGCTCCCCGAGGACTGACCTGGACCGTAATGATCACCATCAGTGGGGCATTGCTTCAAAACAGCACACAACATGTAGCGGTCATAGTCGGCTGGCTACTGTTCCAAAATACGCATCGATGACGCGTCATTAGCGCCCTGCACCAGCCATCATTGCGCTGGACTGCACACACGGGCAGCCCTGCCAGTGCGGTCCCCTCCTTTCCCCAGTCGAGCTTGACCCAGACGGAGTGGACCCGTGTAACGGTACGAGACCGTGCAGCTGCGCCCAGTCACCAGTGCTGACAGGGCGGCCGCCCGGTCGGTGCCACAGGTGGTCGACCACTAAACGTGACGTCACTCACCAGGCGCCGGGCGGTACGGACCGGACAGCCAGCTGAATAGGCGGAGGTCGGCATAGGTCATGGCCCGGGCAACGAGATGAATCAGGCGATTTCAGCGGGCTGGGCAAGGAGTTCAATCAGGGTACAGAGCTCAATCAGGGCAGGGAGCTCGATCAGGGTAGGGAGCTCAATCAGAGCAGGGAGCTCAATTAGGGCAGGGAGCTTAATCACGGGAGTACAGCGGCCGGGCAGGGAGCTTAAACAGGGGAGTTCAGCGGACGGGAAGGGAGCTCAATCAGGGAAATTCAACGACCAGGAAGGGAGCTGAATCAGGGAATGCAGTGGCCGGGCAGGGAGCTTAACCAGGAAAGGTCAGCGGTCAGGTGCGGAGCTCAATCAGGGAACGTCAGTAATGGCCAGATGAGATCAGCGGGCGGGCGGAGAACTGCATCAGGTAACAGCTGATGTTAGCAGGCATAACGGAAAACTGAATCATTTGGGGTCGGCTTGGGCTGGCGAGAACGGAATAAGCCAAGCTCAGTGAACCCTACGCTGAGGTCAGTGGACTTGGCGGGGAACTTAATCAGCTGATGTCGGCCAGCCTTAGAGGCAGGATAGCTATAAACAAAACCGTGCCCTGTTTAGAAGTGGGGAAGCTGACCAAAACATTATATTGCCAATCACTGCGTGTCACGCAGCCAGACCGGTGACGTCAGACCGCATGTCCGGAGACCAGACCGGTGACGTCAGACCGCATGTCCGGAGACGCCCGTCTGCCTGCTGGGGCGGAAGGCCGTATAATGCGAAGGCGGATTCCAGCCAGAGGAGCGCATTTGTGGCCGCGATACATGAATCAGCGGCGGTTCCGGGGAGCGACTCCCACACTCCCGCCCCCGCCTCAGGTGCATCCGCCACACCGCAGACTAGCAGCCGTTCAAAACGACCCTGTGAGCCGTCTGCACTCGAGAACTTGGTGCGACACACGCAGAGGTGCGTGTGTATCTTCAGTACGAGTGTGTGCTCATGCGATTTCGCGCGCGTGCCTGGGGCGTAGATGTCACGTTGCCCCCGTGGCTCTGCGCACGTGTGTGCGTATGTGCGCGGATGCGTGTATGCGTTGGTGACAATCGCCTCCATAGCGCCCTATCACGGCCCTGTGACGACCTTGAGCGGCAAGTCTGCGCTGGCAACACTCCAAGAACGTGCTGTAATGAGATGATCATCCTCGCTCAGCACATGGCCTTTAAACCAAATGCGAGATGTGGCTTCGTGCACAACGTGCGAGTTGAGCCAATAGAAAACAGT